CATATGATCCATTAAGTGAAATCTTGCAAAATAAACTTTTTCCTTTATTTCCTTCTAATTCAGCCTTTTGTCTTTCATTCATAAATTTGTTCGCAAATTCATTAAAACAAGTGTTTTTAGTAAATGTTAAAATTGATTGAATGTCATCAATGATAAAATGAAATCTGTCTATTAGATACCAAAGATAATAAGAAGAAAATGGTTGATATTGGTTGTGTGTTGATGCTAACTGAGTTAATTTCCTCTGTTTCTGGTCAACCGGTAGATTGTTTGATTTCATGTAATTATACATAAAACTGCCAATTGTTTTTTCATCTGTGATAATATCTAAGTTTCTTATTATCGGTAAAAAGTTTATGTAATCATTAATGTATTTTTCATCAATGTGACCCTTTACTTCAGCCACGAATAAAGTATTTTTCTTCTTAATTATTCCCAGTGCTTTTGCTTTCTTTGTTGCTGTATCACAAATGATAACACCATTCAATCTTCCCGGCATATACATTTTATGGTCAGTATATTGAATGAAATCATGAGGATTAGATGAAAATGATGAAGGATATAATGAATTAAAATCAACACCAACGAAATGAGTCATAATGTTGGTGGTGTCCTCATTTGATACAGTTTTAGTTTCTGGATTATATGCAAGTTTATTAATGTGCGTGATTCCTTTAAGATTTACTCTATGTTGAACATTTGATAAACCACCAGTAATTCCATTACGGAGAATGTGATAAGCTTCAACTGAATCTAAAGTCATTGGTAAATTATTTTTTAATGCATAATTTCTTAAATTGATTCTTAAACGTTGAACATCTTCATCTTTATTTGATTTTACGACATTGCAATAACAACACATTAACTGACAATTTTCTTTGGTATGTGGTTTTTCATTATCGATTCTATCCAATGTTGGTTTATTTGCATATGTAAACGCTTTACCACACATTTTGCATTTAGATGAAAGGATTAAATCGTGATAGTATTGAAAATCATCCATTGAAACATTATTTTTAGTATCCCTTTCTGCTTTTTCATCTTGTTTCTTATATGATTCAATTTTATATTTCCAATACTTTTTCGTTAATTCAAAACTTGATTCTATCTCTTCCTCAGGATATTTTTCATTAGGATTAAAGTCTTTATATGCTAAAGCGTAACGAATCATTGAAGCATTCGATGATAAAGAAAGATTATGAAGCGTGTCATTTTTATAAACAAATGTTTCTTCAATAATTTTATCGATTGGGTCAATCATAATTTCAACATCTTTATTGCAATAATGAATAAAATATTCTAATCTATTCTTAAAATTTTTAGCATCATTGAGATATATTTGATAATCACTATCTGATATAGTTTCTTGGGTTAATGCTGAATAAAATGAATCTTTCGTGAATGGTTCCTCTTTATATAATTCTTCTTCGTAATTCTCCCATGTGATGAATTGATAAGGGAAAAAGGATTTAACACGTGATTTATTGTTTCCGAAATCTTGAGTGAATTGGTCTAATGTCCCACCCGCTATATAATTTCTGATGTCAATAAATCTCAATTCATATGGAACGTTTGTTTTCTTTACAATGATTTGCTTAAATTGTGAAGCTGAACCCAGCATTGATTTTATTTTCCATTTTGCAGTGTTTAAATCACGAAGAATTAAATTTAAATCAAACTTTCCCGAATTAAAACCTATGATATTCATTTTATTGAATTCCTCATCTAGAAGTTCTTTAAATGCTTCCTTCTGTTTTTCATTTAATGTATGGGACAAAGTCCCCGCCGTTTGCGACTTCAATAATTCATTGTATTGACTCATATTTGATTCAACAACTAATGAACAGGTTGAAAATAAAAACTCAATCCAATCAGAAATAAAAGAATCACTCGAAGTTAAGCAAAAATTCCTCGTATATGTTTTATCATTTAATTTAACCGTTGATGATACCATGAATGGTTTTAAGTAAGCGTTCAAAGTTGCACACTCAGAAAGTTGTAATTCTTCTTTAGTCTCTAATGTTTCGAAGTCAAAAGTAATATAATATCTTGTCGGTTTATAATATTTCTGCAAATTGTGAGCTAATAACCACTGATATATCTTCTGTTTCGTAATATGTGGTGCATATGGTTGCTGGGTCTTTTGCAATTGAACGTCTTGAATTAATCTTCCATTATTTTCTTTACATTTCTCACAATGCTTTAAAAATCTTCTTTGGTTTTTCCTTTCTGGATCATCACGGATAGAATAAACTTCTTCTTTACAATATGGACAAACTCTATAGCCGGTGAGTGCTTCAACGTCTGTTATTCTGTCAGCGTGAAGTGTTCCACATGGACTCTGTGTTAATAAAATATTTACTGTTTCAAATTCTGGATCTATCATTATTGATTCCACTAATGGAAAGTCTACCTTATTTATGTCCACGTCTTCTGGTTGAGGATCACAATAATAGAAATCAATATTAACATTTAACATTCTCGCTAATCTCTCACTTTCTGATGAAATGTCAAACCCTTCATATGCATCTATTGCTTCATTTAAATAGCTTCTACGAGTTTTAGGATTAGCACCATCAGGAATGTTATAGAAGCGTTTAAATAACCTTCTACCTTCTGCTCTAATTTGATTATCATTCATTTTAGCTGTTCCGTTTTTGTTCATTTATGTAAGAATAAAAAATTAAAAAATAAATAAAAATAAAGTTTATTTTTTAAAGCCCATAAAATGAATTAAGAACACATAAATTTTTATCATCCGCGACGTGACGAATACATTTTAATTTACTCAAGAATGCGTACCCTGATACATTAAATCTAATTCCTGTCTTATTTAATTTCACAACTTTGAAAAGGAATGTATGAATAGCTATAAAATGATGAGAAGATGTTTTATGGGTTGCTTCCATTTTTTCTGAAATAAATGAATAAATATAATGCTTATACGTTTTCATATCTTTTATATTCTTAATAACGAATGGTATAGACCTTTCCACTTCATCTTCCTTCGGTGCTGTTCTTTCATATGAAACATTATTGGTATCTTCAATAATGAAACCACAATCACACAAAATTTTATAGGTTCCAATGGTTTCTTTTGATATTTTATCTAATAAATCAAAAACTTTATCAACACCTGTGCATTTATTTAAATAATAATTTGTGTAAATATCATGATCTTCTTTCTTAATCGTATTAGTTGCATATGTCACGTTTTTAAGAGCTTTTTTGAATTTTTCGGAATCTAAAGGTGGTGAAAGTAGGATACAGGGGTATTCTTCATTATCAATAAATTGTAACTTATGTTTACGAATAAATTTAGTACCTTCTTCTGAAAGTGTTTCGTCTATTTCACCATCTAATAAATTTTGTGTTGATTCTGAGACATAATTTTTATATCTTTCTTCATGAGATTTCTGAACTTCTGATTCTGAAGCTGGGATATTCATTAAACCCTCTACTTCATTTTCATTATATTTTTCAACTTCTCTTAATTCCTTAATTTTTTCATCTATTTCATCTCTTATTTTTTTCAGTCTTTCAATTTCACTGTATTCATCATCTTTAATCCGTTCTTCATAATATTCAGGGAAAACATCAGGTTCTTTAGGTTTTTCTTCTTCAGATGTGGGATATAAGAAATTTATAACATCATCTTTATTCATTTTTCCATCATAATCTAAATCATTTAATAACTCCGCGAATTTTTTACAATTTCTTAAATAATATTTATCAACTTCATAACCCACCTCCTCTAATATATCCTTTATTTCCTCGTTTGTGAATCCTAATTTTTTAACGTTGTTAGTTTTGACGCTCATTTCATACAAAATAAAAAAATAAAATAATAAACATAACTAAGTTTTAATTTTTCGTAAGACATGAATTTCTAATTTCTTTTACTCGTTTATGAGGTCTTTGATTATGACTCCATTGATTCCATTCAGGATTTAAACAATGTTTAATTAATCGCGGAATATCTGACATCATCTATATATAGCTTCTTTTATAAAAGATAAATTATTTTAATGATTTATAAATAAATATATTTTTATTTTTTATTTCATTATGTTTGGGCTGAGTGTAAATGTCTTACAATTTTGAAAATTTTTTAAATCTTGATTTATTCAAAAACGTAAGAATAAAAACCATAAGAATCATACATTTTTTACTTCATATGTTAAAAAAAATGATACAAAATCGCTCGATATTGTATGAATTCTTACGTTTACAAAAAAAGTCACTAAACCCGTCATATCCTACTACTTGCAATATGAAATATAGTTTTTCTGCATTTTAGCTTATTAAAAAATGATGAGAATGATTTAACTGTTTATAATTATTAAAATGATGTGTGTGATATTTTCATTGAAATTAATAAGGTAAAAAGTGACATTTTTTAAAAAATTAAAAAACTAAAATCCTCTTGGATATATGCTGTTAGGTATTTGCCAATATTTTAATCATATATAAGAGGTATCTGAGCATATGATTTTTTAAAAAAATTACTTTGTTTTGTTATATATAAATATGGAACTAACTAATAACAATCAATAATCAACAATTAACAATTAAATGAATGTTATTATATTTATGGAAAGTGAATAATGTAACTAATCAATAACAATCAACAATCAACAATTAAATGAATGTTATCATATTAATGGAAAGTGAATAATGTAACTAATCAATATCAATCAACAATTAACAATCAACAATCAACAATTAAATGAATGTTATCATATTAATGGAAAGCGAATAATGTAACTAATTAATAACAATCAACAATTAACAATTAAATGAATGTTATCATATTTATGGAAAGGGAATTATGTAACAAGCTAATATTTATGATATAACGGTTATAAAAGTGATATATATGATGTGACGGTTATAAAAGTGACACACTAAGAGTGGCAATTCTAAATCAAATTTAATTTTATATATTTTAATATATGAATAAAATAATTTTTATTAATAAGAATAAATATAATTTTTTATTAATAAGAATTTTCACTGTCATCTTCAGAAACTGATTCTTGATAGTTATATGCCTCGCTATTTTCATCCATGCTATCAAGATCTAAAAGATCCCATCTTTCAGCACCTCTACGTAATGGACGTCGGCACAAAAGTTTATTTGTAAGGCCTGCACACATTGCAAAGGTGTGATGATAAAATGTTAGATCACCCTTGATTTTCAATGGCCATTTACCACCAATCACTCTCCAGTATTGTTTGAGTCGAGAAAAATAATTCTCGACAATGATTCGATTACTGGAGAGTTTTCGGTTGTATTCCTTCTGATCATCTGTTAATTCTGTATTCCTTTGACGTTTAAAAGGAATTTTTGCCCATGGTATTATATCATTAATACCTTGATATCCTGAATCTGCTAATAAGCATGGCTCTGTCTCAATTTCTGCATTCATTCTTTCTTTTTCTGCTTTTAAGATAGAAATGAATTTTTTGTTTTTTTAAATAATCTAAAATCATGTCTTTTTCCACGGATTGGTTTCGAAAAGTGAAGTAATCTTCCTTTGGGACTGACAAAACATTGAACTTTGACACAACACATTTTATGTTTTCCAGAGTAATATAAATTTTGATCTTTTGCTCTTCCAATTTCTTGTACTGTAGCGTCCAAAGCTCCAAGCATACCGGGATATTCGGTAGATTTTTCACTTTCGTCCCACCGAATATAGGGTCTCCATTTGACAAAGTCCTCACCAATTTTTAAACCAATTTTATTTATGATATCCATTACAATAGCTCTTGTATGTGTTTTTTTGATTCCAAATTGTGCTCCTAATTTCTTTAAATGAACCAGAATGTTTCAACCAAGTTAATGTTATTAGCAATCTCGATTCCAATGATACTCTAGTGTGTTTATAATGATTGTGTTCAAGAGTATTAAAATAAAGATGTAATAAATCTCTAAAATCTTTGCATGTCAAATTTGTCAATTTTGTGAGACGATTATTTTGTTGCTCCCTTAAAATTTCTTCGATCCTAATTTTTAGTGGTTCTTTGATCTTTGGCTCTGGTACATCATTTACAGGAACATCAACAAATGATTCCATATATTCTGCTTCTCTTTGGGTAAAAAATGAAATTGGATCTGTTGGATTGATTTCATTTTCTGAAATTTCAGATGAAGTCGCAATTTGAATGGGATTAACCGCTGTCACGTTTTCCTGTGCTGGAGGAGGAATTTGCTCTGTTGCAGCAGGTTCCCTTTCTGATCTTGAACGGGCACAGTTGCTGTAGAAGTTTGTGTTGGAGCAGGGTTTTGTACAATGCTTGAGAACTTCTTGGTGTTTGCGAGTTTCGAGTTCCTGATGCTTGCGAACTTCGAGTACTGGATGTTGTTCTTTGTCGATTGGACATTAATGAAGTGATAATTGTTGATTTCAAAAATTTTATTTATTTTATAAAATTGATACTATATTCAATTTTTAAAAGCACAAAGATGTTCGGCCATTTATGAAGCATTGAATAGAATTTCGACAAGAAAAAAAATTATTATAATTCTTGTATTGATAATAAGATTTTGCAAACAATTAAAATTATATGGAGTATGATACAGATTATCTTCCAAATACAGCAAAAATATATAAAATCGATTTATTAATAAATCCAAGGCGTCTTCAGGCTTAAAAAAAGATTTTTTCGCCTGTAATGTTTATTATTATCTAATAACTTATCTTATTTTCGCACATATAATATTAGTAGATTAGTACAAATAGTATTTGATGGATACTAGTTGAAAATACCATTTTAAAAAAAAATAAAAAAAATACTCATTCCTAAAATTATTTTTTATTACTAGGATATCATACAGTGTTTCATTATTTATAATCGAGTGGGGGACAAACTCGCCCATTGTCACTTTTTCATTAACCTTAAACTTGTAATTTTCATTATTTTTAATTAACCTTATTTCTTTCCCAATTCCTGATTTATTTTATTCACTTACTATTAAAAGTCACATTTTAATAAAATATAATAATTTATTTATAGCATTTTTACTATACTGTAATAAAAAATTAATTATAATAAATTAAATGTTTATTAAATCAAATGTTTTCTTTGCAATAATATTTTTAATGTTGAGTAAACAATGTTGGGATCAAGTGTATCATTTTTCAGACCTTTCTGAACAGCTTCAAGCATACTGATGCATTCGACTTTTTTAAATTGTGTCATTTCTTCGAAATCTCTTGTGACTTTTTTGATAACTTTAACACTTCTCTCTGAATCCAAACCTTTAATTTGCAACTTAATCAGGAATGAAGGAACAACACTGGAATATAACTCGATGACAAGTTCATCGAGTCGAAGATTTCGCCTTTCTGGGAAGTACTGGTGCTTCAAAACCTTGAAATGTGATTCGGAGATGTTGTTTGTTTCATCTCCTTCATTTCTATAGCGAAGCATCCACCTGTCAAGATGATGGCGCCACTGTCGGTCAAAGTATTCACGGGCAGCAGGTTCCTCATTTAAAATTTCTTCTAAATTGTTGTAAACTTCATCAGGATCAATTTCTTCCTCTTCAGAACCAAAGACCAATAACTTCATTAAGTTATAGAAAGTTTCGAAGTTGGAACGATCTTGAAACTTTTCAGCCTTTCTCATGACAGCGCGCAACACATGAACGCCACACCAAATGATCTGGCATAAGGGGATGGCTGTTTCAACAGCATTTGTGATTTGAGGTGCGCAGTCCATTGAAAAATAAGATGGTTCGCGATTGATGGAGCCAAAATATGCTGTGAGACAAACTTGTATATTTTCACTTGTGTCGGGCCAAACGAAAAAATACAAAAACGGAAAAACAATTGATTCCGCGAATTTGCCAGTGACGGCATAAAATGGTATGCGAGAGCGCAAGAGCTTATAAGTGGAATCAATGTGATAAGTTTGTATTTGATGTGAAAAAGCATTTGCTTCGAATGGGGCGTAATAGAAAATCATACGATCTGGCTCGTGAATAAACTCGATGAGATCATCTGGAGAATGACTCTTAACCATGTCGACAAAAATTGCAAGAGTTAGTATACAAGTCTTGGGTACGGCGGCACTGCGTTCCACTTTACCCAATACTTGTGAATTTGACACTTTACAAAACCGTTAACGTGTATTTTACAACACAAACGACAACACTAACTTAACCTTAAATATTTACAAAGCCGCCAACCACTTCACTTCACTAACGAACTCACTAATGTAAAAATAAACGTTCTCACTATCGTTCTCACTAACGACTTCACTAATGTTCTCATAAATTTTCCTCAATATCTTCATCATCAGTGTTAACCCTATTGTAGTCATACTTGAAGCCATAAACTTTCTCTAACTTCTTAACGTACAATTTACATAACTTACCTTCGTCATCGTATGGTTTAATGATATAACTATTTCTATCTTTATAAACAGTCAATGAAAAGTCAACTGGTCTCGGATGTATTTGAAAGAACATGTTATGCTCAGGAAGGAAGAATAAATGTTTAAATGTATGTTTGTTATATGTTTTGATTTGTATGAGTTGCTTTTGTTCTGTCATTTATATAAAAATAAACTTAAAAATAAAATAAAAAATAAACTTAAAAATTAATGATATCACCACCCGCACACGTATGAAAACATAGCACAAAAATAAATTTATGTTAGAATGTTAGATCTAACACGTTTTCTAACACGTTTTCTAACCTTGTGAATTCATTACTTTATAACTCTCTTCCTTGGTTTCTTTTTAGTTGCTTTCTTCACGTCTGTCTCCAGCTTAACTGTCTTTCTTCTTCGTCCGTAATGATACCAGTTACTTCCACCAGTCAATGGGTCAAATGGTCTTTCGTAAGGGTTTCCATACATTCCATAGGGACCATACGGAAGAACTACTGGTGGAGAAGAAACATTTTCTTTAGTTCCATCGACTCTATTTAAATGCATTGTTTCACCTTTCATCTGGTCATTAAAGTCTTTTGCATGTTTTGCAAACTCATCGTCCTTTCCTAAAGCATTTTCTGACTCAGTCGCAACCAAATTGGATGCTTTATTTATGAGCCCTATTTTATTTAATCTTAACTTCTTTGCAACCCAGCCTCCAATCTTTCCTTTATTTGCATCTAATGTCTTCGAAACTCTTCCTCCACTCATTTTATTTACTGCGTCATAAGCCCCAAGTGCTTTTGCTCCAAATGCTAATGCTTTTGTTCCCATTGCGCCTAAAGCTGCCCAAGCTACCATTTACACCATATTAAAATCATCTCTCTTCAATATTATCTCATAAAAGTTCTCTTTACTGGAGAAAGTCAATGAAACATAAACATTCTCATTCATAAACTTCTTTCTTATCTCATCTATACGCTTCAAAATGTCTGAACAATTGCTAACATCTTCTACAACAGTTATTTCATCATGAATGACCTTCAAGAACAAGCTCATTTAATATGCTATTAAAATCATCTCAATAATGAGTCCATCCTTTCCATCTTTAGGTAGCACAACATCTTTCATTGAAGAAGGTTCAACAAGTCTTATATTAAACTTACTGACAAAGTTTGTTATACTATAATGCTTCGGCGGCGAATACATATAGTTTGAAAGACATAATATAGATTCTTCAGCAAATTCACTTATACTGGATTTTATAACAATGTTCTCACGAGACCAAATACCACCAATTGACAATCTTGTAAGCAATCCTGCTGAACCTTCTACTGTAAACGTCGATGGTAACATTCCACGAAGGTCATCTATTGACATCGTTGAGTCACTGAATTTAAATATTTTCTTAAAGCAATCGTCATTATCTAACCATGCAATAGCTTTGAAGTTTTCATTCGAATATACATCTGCTTCATTAAATGTAAAACCTGACTTCTTTGCAGAGACGACTTTAAAATCTATTGCATTTGTTTCAAAATTATATACTATGGTAACTTCTGAAGGTAATGGATGTCCTTCCGCAGTCAGTTGTTCTCTCACTACCGTTTGAAGCTTTGTGTTAAAAACTTTCATGTCATCTCCTGTGTCTAGGTTCACATACACAGCAATAGGAAAACTATCTTGCTTCTTTGTCTCATCATTATATCTCAAACATTAAAGTTCTTCAATAATATTGTCCTTCCTGCTGGAATACTTCTAACTTGTCTTATTTCAATAGCTTTCTCACCTCCTACATACTCTACCCAGTGTCTTGGATATTCATAAGTATACTGACTTTCTTGAATTTTGGTTGGTTTCATCATAACGTGTTCATAGTATATCTTTATACTCTTGTCAGTTAGACTCGGTGCTATGTTCTGAATATTTCTGACTTGCATTTTTAATGGAGATAAAATGAAGCATTTAATACATGACGTAGATGAAGACATGAATGAAACTACAGACAAACTTAACTCTTCTCTTATTCTTCCTTTCAGTAAGGACTATGAGTTCTGTTCAAATGGTGTTTATTTCTATTGTGGAAAGATGGGTCAGGTAAGACATTTAACCTCATTCGTCATATACTCATAACAGAACGTTTAGGAAATGACTCATATTATGACCAAATCATTATATCAGCAACTTCAGACTCTATGGACTCAACAGCGAAAACATTTATGTCAAAAGTTCAAGCCTCTGTCGTTAAAGTTCCAGATAGCGAACTCATTGAATTTCTTCAACGTTACATTCGACGTAAGAGAAAATTATGCTATTGTAGAGTTCATACAGTCAGGAATGCAAAAGACTTCTGAGGAGATGGAAAGAATTATTGACAAACACCACTTACGTCAGTACTCAGGAGTTTACGATATGAAACGACTGACAAACTACATTCTGTCAAAACTTTCAAAATACCCCTTCAAAAAGTATCCTTCAAACACTCTGCTCGTTTGTGACGACTTCGCCGGAAAAGGTTTAGTGTCAAAGCCTGACTCACCATTAGCTAACATCATTACTAAAGTCAGACATTACCACTTAACTGTAGCAATACTTATGCAAACATGGCGTTTTCTTGCTTTAAACATAAAACGTCTCATAACTGACTTCGTTATCTTTCAAGGTTTCTCACGCTATGATATTGAACTCATTTGGAAACAGTCAGGTATAACATTACCTTTTGAAGAAATTTGGGAAGCATATAAGTCTCTCATCTCTCCTCGTTCATACCTTGAGATTCATATCATGACTAATACCATTAAAGTCAAAAATATTCCATGGGAACGACCAACATTGTTTTAAAGTTTAACCTTCAATTGACTGATGGTAAACAAATTCCATGCATCTCTGTCGCCATTTCTGTTAATATTTTTGCTGTCATTCATATCATCCACTTCCCCATCCGTTAGCTTTTGAGGATATGCGTTAGAATAGCTGTTCTTAAATGAAGGCTTTTCACCTTTTAGCGCATAAACTCTATAACTTTCTGCATACTTTATGTTTGAACCTCCTGAGCCATCATTGACATAAATTTTTATAGGCTTCCACCCTTTGTTCATGTTCCTGCTTCTTCCCTTAGCTCTTTTGTTCAGTAGTTCTACATCTTTATACACAGCACCTGTCTCAGTGAATTCAACAATATTTTCATTCGTTAGCTTTACATTCAAACCCTTGTCGAGTATATTGTTCATTTCATACATATAAAAGGTTTTTATTCTATATGAAATGAGAAGCAAATCCATCTTAGCTGGTGCCGTTAATGTTCCAATTGAACCAACATCAAATGTTGACTCACGAACGACAAACAATATTGTCATAAAGAACTATAGTTCGGAGTGTTTGAAAGAAAAAGAACCAGAACTTAAGTCGGGAGGGCTCAAAGAGCCCATCTTGGCGCATGGCGCCGTGAATTTAAACTCAGCTTCAAACGCTAACGCTACATCAGATGTTAAGTTAGAGTATCCACCACTGGACCAAATTCTTTCAAGAGAAGCCAACGACAACCCTTACACAAATGTTCAAACAAATCCTTCAGATAACGTAGACCATTACCTTCTTCAGTTATATCAAACTATCTTACTCAAAGACGATAAGAAGCTTTTGACAAATCTTATAAGCAAGAACCAAATAATTCTAACAAAGGAGGACCTTGAAAATGTTATATCACGAATAACAGGGAAACAATGTGTCATTGACTATCTCGACCCTGAAATCGAATGCTGTGGTCAAACGCCACCATTCATGAAAATAGGTAACATCCGCATCATTGAAATACCAGGTACTCCAGGAGTTGAGTTTAAGTATAAATATTCGAACGAGTATACAAAACTTTCAACAGAATATAAATTATGTTTGAAATATGTTTTAGTAAATTAAAGCAGTCAGGAGGGCTCTTTGAGCCCATCTTGGCGCTTTGCGCCGTTAGTCAAAAAAATTTCAAGTTAGCAATTTGTAATATCTATCCAAAACTTCTTCAACAGTATCGAACTCATCTTCATAATGCAAACCTAATCTTATTGACTTGGTGCAGTTCTCACTAACACAATATAGCGCTTTGCGCTCGGCGCCTTTGACGCCTTTTTCTGTTCTCTTGACTGACATAACTAACTCATTTGTTTCATCAAACAGCAACAACCAAAGTTCATGACCTAATACATAACATTCATACTTTATATTTTTAGCTCTGAGTTCTCTTGTAAGCTGTTGCATTTAATATTTTCTAAAAAGTCTACTTCAACAGTCATTCGCACTGGTGCCTTCAGTTCTACAGGCTCTCCTTGAAAGTCAACTAGTCTGAATTGCATGTCTTTCAAATTATGAGGACTAATGCGAACCCATTTACCTAAATGAGTTGCTATGACAGGAACGTTTGGAATGAACATTGAATTGACTGCATAACAGAAAGACTTATATTCTACTGAACCTTTACTATTAACTCCTGAAATACCTGTGACATTAGCTATTTTTGACTCAATGTATAAACAATTGCCATAACATACGTATGGAACAGATTTCATCTCAATCGTTTTGTCAATACTTTTCAAAGGAAATGTCATATGGTATGCTCCCAGAAGCAATTGAACTCTATGACTCATTCGTGTTATCTTAAACTCCTTCGCATAACTGAACTTCAAAACTCCTGCAATAAGTTTAACATTCATTAAGTTTTCTCGTTCTCCTTGTTTATTGTAGTATTTATGAGCGCATTTAACACTCCAGCTAATGTTTCCATCTTATATTCTACATTATTGTGAAATCTTATTTCGTGCTTCTTTCCATCTATTTCAAACTCCATGAAATCTGTTTCATCTGTTATAACGAATGAAGCGATAGTATTGAAGTCAACCATTCTGAATGCAAGTGGCTCATTCTGTAGACCTAAGTTTGTTTGTAGCTTTACTGTCCCGTATTCGTTTGGGTCTGTACTTTGCAAATAGAACAACATTTTATTCTCATTAAAATATGAGTATAGCTGCATATGCGTATGAAGCTGACAGAGCTAAACGTTTATATTTTGGTCAATACTCTCTCACACTTACTGACAAATATATTGTTATCAGTGATGGAAATACCGAGAAATACATAACATGGAAGGACTATGAAAAGTTTGACCCTATTTTAACTCCATGTACAATGCCATTCATTGTAAATGGTGAAGTTGTCATGAAGAACGACACAACAGTATATAAGTCTGTATATGAAGCATTAGAATATATGTTGAATTATAATCCCGAAAGATTTGACCCAAGCACTACACCATGTGCAATGCCTTTTATTAAGGACGGTGAAATCGTAAGAGTTCCGGATTCAACGGTTTATACTGCTGTTCAAAACAGTTTACAAAACATTTTAGCGAATATCTTTAATTCAGAAACTACAGAAATAAAATTACCATATATAACAGATGCTAAAGAAATTAAATCAAAAACGACAACATTATTTACGTCACTTAATGATTTAATGACTTATATCATTAATATTCCTGCACCAACTACAGCATTTGATCCAAACTCGACGGTTTGCAGTGTACCTTTCATAAAGTCGCAAAGCGACCAGGGCGAAGCCCATGACAGTTCATTAATTACTTTAAGGGATTCAACAGTTAATGAATCATTAAAGGCGTCATTAATGAAAATCATTGATTTTAACTCATTCACGAATACATATAATTCATTCATTAATGTTTCATATGCTTCTAAAGAAGGTGAGCCAAAAACTATCGATAAAGCGGTGTATGAAATAAAAGCATCAACGACGAAATTGAATTCGTTAACTTTTGACGGTGATAGTTTCGTTAATGACATAACATCGGGGAAAACAATTTTAACGAAAGAATATTTAAAATCTCATGTTAGTGAGTTCGTTGAAATTGAAAAAGAAGGTGGAATTAAGTTCGATCCACTGAATTTCATTTTCAGCTTAGCGAATGCGGGTGTTAGTTTCGCTGAATGGACAACTATACAGAGTGAAATAAATGCAATATGGACGTTTTTGGGGTCAAAAGCGGGAATGGGTGAGCTTGTAAATGCTGCAAGAACATTAGGTGAAACAGGAAATTTTGTAGATGGTTTTAAAAGACTTGTTTCAAATGTTTTAACAAACACAAAGAAATTATTTAGATATACCATACATAACGGACGGATTTTCGAACAGGTAGCAACAAACCCTCCGGTTATGGCTGCGTTGATGATGGTTAGAGATATAAAACCACGTAACGACGGGAACGAAGAACATGAACAACAGGATACTGGTCGGGTTATTCAAGACATTAAAAACGTGTATCCTGAAGTTATTGATTTATTTAGAGGAGTTAATGATTCAATTTCAAAACATTCTATAACCCTCGATGAAGAGAATAAATTAACAGATTATATATTCGTCATTATTGCAGAACTAATGAAGAGAATAAATGAAAAAGGAATTGGTGATATCATTAATGTCAGCGATGTAATGATGAAAAGAAATTTTGACTCATTATTTACAAAACCGAAAACAGAATATAGTCTTTATGACGTAATTACCGAATTAATGAAAAATATTAATGATAATAAGAGTTCTGGCGGAAGAGTTGAATTAGAAGTGAATGATGTTAATGAGAAATTAGCCGAAAAAGCAGACAAAAATGAGCTTTTAGCTCTGAGTGATAAAGTCAAGAACCACGTTCATTATATAACTTCAGACGAACAGATTATAACGGACTACCATGGATATTTAACACGAAGTGATGAAGCGAAGACAAAAAATGTTAATGAAAGAAGATATAAATACATTCGTGCTAAAGGTTATGACATAAGCTGTACTGTACAGTATGATGTAGCTAAAGCACCAGAAGCATTTGGTTATACCGGTGAAATTTATGCCTCTACTTTCTCTGTTAAAGGTGTATTAGTTGAACCAAGATTTACTTTGAGAGTTAAGTCAAAAATAACGTTTGAAGATGCTATTAAAAGTAAAGCTGACAAAGATGAACTTGACGCAACGAACAAAGTTTTGAAATCTCATAAACACAACATCTCCGATATAAATGAACTTCAAACTTCTTTAGACAGTAAAGCCGACAAGAACCATACACATAAATCCTTCACTACTATTAGAGCAGACGATGTAATATTGAACTATACCCTTGGTTCAAGTGCACCTTTAGAGAATCCAAGTACAAGCGTAAAAGATACACTAAACTCCTTAAATAACAAATGTATGAACATTGAAGGTCATGCCAGAAACTTTGAAGCACATGAACTACCAACAATGTTAGATAAGAAAGCTGACAAGAACCATACACATGATTTCTTCACAACTGTTGGTATAGAAAGTATTGAAGGAACGGTTGAAGAAACTGGTGGGGATGCATTATATTGTAAACCTCCTAACTTTCCACAAGGTTTAACATCGGATGACGACATAACGACGATGAGAAACATTAGATGTAAAGATGTTTATGTCATGAAGGATGAACATAATATTAAATTCACTGCTCAAGATTTATATGACAAGAAAGCAGACAAAACAGAGCTTCAAACATTAAAGACAGAAATACTTCAAACATTATATCCTATAGGCTCTATTTATACGTCAATGAACTCAACAAATCCAGCAACAGTTTTAGGTTTTGGTACATGGCAGCAGATTGTAGACAAATTCTTATACTGTGCTAACTCTTCAAAGCAAACAGGAGGTTCGAAGAAAATTACTGAAGCAAACCTTCCACCGCACACTCATACAGGAACTACAAACACAACAGGTAGTCATTCACATTCAATAACAAAAAGAGGTTATACAAATCTTGCAGCAGGTTCGGATAGACAGGGAATGCATAGATATGATATTTCAAGTGACCCAGTAGATTCAAGCGCAGGTATTTTCTGTGGAACCGCAGGAAATCATTCACACACTTTCACAACAAATCCAACAGGCTCGGGTGCAGATTATATGCCACCATTTGTGACTATATTCGCATGGTACCGCGTTCAATGAACGCGCTTGAGCCTAGAATAAAATCTTTAACTTTACATAAATGAGCTTGAAAGAAGTATTCGAACAACATCCATGGAGGTCTTTTAAGAAGTTCAATGAAGCTGCAAAGAGTTGGGGATTTACTAACAGAGCTGAAGTGAAAAGGTTCTTTGACAAAAAATGTTGTACATCAAACAAAAATAAATCCTTACGACTACTTTTTACCAATTTACTCCAACACTCCTGACGCATACCAATTTGACACTCTCATTCAAAGCAGAAAAGGAGGACATAAACCATTCCTCATCTTCATTAATGTTAACACTCGCAAAGCTTTTGCGTATATAATGAGAAATAAAGGAACTCATGAAGTGTTAAGAGTTTTACAAAAGTTTGTAGCAGAACATAGCCCAAGTATTTTAACATCAGACCAAGACGGTGCATACCTCAGCAACGAAATCACAGAATTTCTCATTAAGCATAACATAACTCACTACACTACTGAAGACCATAACCATAACATACTCGGCATCATAAACCGCTTCATAAGAACGCTCAGAGATTTAAATCAAGAGCGAGACTTTACCGAAGAAACAATGAAACATTTTCTCGAAGTATATAATTCCTCAACACATTCTACAACAGGACATACACCAAATTCAATGACACAACAACAAGAAGAAAAGTATATACAAAAGAAACGAAGCCAAACACAAAATATCAGAAATTCAACACAATTTACCCTCATTCCTGGAACAAAAGTTCGTGTAGTTCTTGACGACAAACCGTTGACAAAGAAACGTTTAAGGTTAAGTCGAAATTATTATATTGTAGACTCTACGCAAGGTAATGGATATCTTATAAAAGCTGCCGACGACTCTATTGCGTTTTATCCTCGTCATAAATTAGTTGAAAGTAGTAATGGCAAACTTGCTGAAACCATTGACGAAGCAAAGCGAGGAGTGGTTATTGAAATACTTGGCTACAACATAAACGATGACACTTATAAAGTAAGATATGAAGGAGGTGTTGAAGATGTTATACCATCTAAGAACTTGAGAGAGTCAAAGCAACACATCTGGGACCATTAGAGCGGGAGTACTGGAAAGACAAAAATATGCCAGAAAGAATAAGAAAATTCTTCTAAACTTTTTCATTAGATGTAAATCAGACATGAATGAGAACAGTCATGATATCATTAAGGGTACCATTTATTTACACCAAAAATAATGTTTATGTTAGCATGTTAGATCTAACACGTTTTCTAACCTCTTTTTCACCCTCATGAATTTTTGACATTTCCTTATGAAAGAAAAATAACGCTAATTTTTTTCTAAGAAAAATTTTTATCTTGTATGTAAAGATATGATTTCAACAATCGGCACAACAACAATTCAAACTACAGCACCAAACTCGTTAGTCATGAATCCAACATCTATGTTAGTAGAGATGAAAAGCTTCATTCCTTCTTCATATACTTTCGAAACAAAAATCCAGAAGATAAAGCAAGAACTTTTAACAAGTAATTTAGACTGTAGTGCGAAAGATGAAACAAATGAACAGTATCTTTATGAAATGCAGGACATTATTGACCATTTACCCAAATTGCCTGAAATCCAACAACAAAAACTAACTATTCCTGAATTCGACGAAATTGAAGTCAAAACAACTGACTCAGTAGAAATAAAGAAGTTCATACGTAAAGTAAATTATGAATTCCTTGGTTTTCATTGCAACCATAAAGTTATGGACAAAGATTGCGACATGGTTTATAAGAATGTTTCTGACATATATAAATCTGAAGAATTTAAGACCTACGATAACTTTGTTTCATTAGTTGCTGAATGTGTTTGGGAAATAAGAGATAAAGATAGAAGAGGCAAAGTATGGAACGAACAACTAAGACCCGCTATGTTTGAGATGAAGAGAGCAATTGACGCCTTAGTTGTTTTAGCAGGTCAAATTTCAATGTATAACGCAAAAATGAACCCGCAATGTTCAAAATGTAAGGCAGCGATGAGGAAATATAACTACTCCGTCAAAGAGATAGAAAGAATGAGAAACGACTATGCAGATTTAAAGAAAGATATGTCAAACATTCAGTTTGAAACAGTTGGAAAGATAGACAATGACACCAAAGTGGTTAGAATAGGTGATTTAAACGTAAGATACTCAAAGAAATACAACAAATATTCTTTGTCAGACATTTTTCTCCATTTGAAAAGAAAACAAACCACTGGGTTAAAATTGCTTCTACTCAGAAAATTTTGACAAGAAATCCTGAGCTTATGATATCGGTAAAATTCTATGGAACTACAGCATATCTTATAGACAAAAGTCTTATACCAATAGTTTTGTTATGGTTAGACCCAGTTGTTGGATATAACTTCATAACATATGGTTCATTCAATACGGAACGTTGCAGTGAAGGCTTACTTTACATCGTTCAGAAACCGAAGGACTTCAATACAAAAAGATATAAGGTAGGAAGAACATATAATATAACTCAAAGATATGACAGTACAGTCAATAGAGTCAAGGTTGTGTTCGTTAATGATATGAGAGCTGCTGAAACAGAACTGCTTGAAGTTTTTGAGAAAATGTATGGTGCTCCCACGAAAGGTAAAGAAACGTTTGAAGTAGATGAGATAGATAAAGCTATAAAATTATTTGACGAAGTTGCTGAAAAATACATGTAAAGCGTTTATTTTTGGTCTTTTGTGAAAGTCAGAAAATAACGCTAATTTTTTATAAAATATTTTTTTTATCTTGTATGTAAAGACAGATATGTCAACATTAGAGAACACAACAACTGCTATCGTTCATGAAGCCATAAATGAAGAATACGAATACATACAGTATAACAAACAGTTACGTCTCATTCGTTCAGTCAAAGATGATATGTATCAAATGCAAAGTATAATGAACGCTCTTCGTTCTACAAAGCAAGCATATCATTGGTTTGAAAACCAACAGGCAAAAGAACTTTTAGAAGAATTTCCTCATATGATTGCTTCCCTCGGAAAACCGAGGGAAGAGATTCCGTACGAAAATCGCAAGAATTTGGCACCTGGTTTGAAAGGTTATTATGTTCATAGACTTTTAGTAAATGCTGTAGCAATGTGGGCTTCACCTCGTTATGCTTGTTATATTTTCATGATGTTAGATGAACTATATAAAGCAGAACGTGGAGAGATGGAAAAGAAACTTCAAGCAAAAGATGAAGTCATTGAATCCAAAGACAAAAGCATACAGAAAAGAATACCGCGTTCAGTACCAAAAGGAAAGGAAAAGAGTTATAAGTATATGATATATACTGAAGAGTTGGAGAAAGAAGAAGACAGAGATATGGTTATGTTGCATTTAGTCAGAAGAAACAACAAAAGCTTTTATGACCTTGCTAAGATTTACAAATCTGACAGAAACTGGTTCTATCGTGAAAACTTACCGATTTCAATGACACCGAATGAGCAAATAAAGGAAATTGTCAAAAGTACTCTTCCTCAAACACACTATGACATCAAAGGTTGCACAATTCTTACCTTCAAAGAAGACTTACCATTACTGAAGGAAAAAATAACAGAATATTTCGATAACTTCAAAGAGGAAGAATGAAGTCACGACAACATTAACGAAGAAGTCACGACAACATTAACGAAGAAGTCACGACAACATTAACGAAGAGAGAATGAGGTGAAAAAACAGGTGAAATCTCACCTCTTCACCAAAAATATATTTTTGCTTAAATGACGTCAGGGTCAATTTCTTCAACCATTTCACTTCCTTCGTCAATGTCAATAGAAGCTTCTTCAACCTTTGGTAAGAACTTTTGTATAACATCTTTGTTCGTTATTGTCTTCAGAGATGAAGGATAATATTTCACATTTATTTCACCCTTCTTATATTCTTTCTGTTCGGAAAGATTTAAAGCAATACTGAAGAAGTCAACGTTAGAGTTCTTTATGACAGTATAGTGTGTATCTTTGACATTCACGAAGAAACTCTTTTGTTTCAAAACTACTGCTAACTCTTGTGAAGTATAACGTTTGCGGTCAATGACGATAGCTAATGGTCTGACATACTGACCAAACTTAGATTCTTTCACAAACTTCTTGTTAAAGATAACATTAACGTTTGAAGCACCATTGAACTCATTCTTGATGGCAGTAGCGAGAGCATTGTATGAAAAGAACTTGCAATCTTGCATGTGTTTCATTAAAATAAAAAGTTCGAAATATTTTAAAACTAGCCTTAAAAAATCTAAGCTAATTTTTTTCTAAGAATTTTTTTTATTTCCTACTAAAGATGTATCGGAAGTTGTCTAAGTTAGAACACTCGGAAATAAAACAACTTCTTACAGAAGCTAATATAGATGTTGCAAAGCATTACACAACAAACAAAAAGGCACTCGCTGACATCCTCAATGACTATAATGGTGCAATAAGTTATGATAGAATTCATGAGTTCATAAAGCCGCAACGCGGCGAGGACGAAGTCCATGCAAGAGCATTTCCTTTAAATGACGTTGCTATTGACTTATATCATAGACGTTCAGTACCTCATGAAGTAAGAAGAGAAATGTTTGACATAACAAATGCAAACGTTGGTGAAACAAGAAGAAGAGACGACACACTGAAACAACAGAGAAGAGAGATGTTTAAAAGTGCTATAGAACAAGTTCGCAAAGCTAACGATGTCATTCGTTCCATTGACGACAAACCAAAAGAAGGTGAGAGATGGTTAAAGAAAGATGAAGAGAATAGGAAGAGAAATGTGAAGTCAGGCAATAGACTCATTGACTTTAACATCGAAGCTTTAGATGAACCAAACAGAGACTACTTACACAAACATTTCGGTAAGGTTTTCATGAGACTCTTAGAGAAAATTAAAATAAACTCGCAACAAAGATGGATGGTATGTTATAAACTTGGTGGAAAGTATGAATGTTCTACGTTAAACCTCAATAATATTGGAACATTACTACATCAGCTCTTGAAGGAGAACTTTATATCAGAGATAGA